AAACAACATGATTGAGGCCAAGATGTTATGATCGATGAGAATCGTCATAAAACTTATATTAATGAAAATTAGTTAGGTTTAAGGTGGTCAAATCAACTATGATTATAGCCAACCTGTCTGTGATTCATTCCTCCTCCACTTTTCTCTGGGTTTCTTTTTCGTCCTTTGATTTGTCTTTCTGAATCATTATTAAGGTTTTTAAACATGGTTTCCTCTCATCAATTAGGTTGAAGGTATACATGGTCATTACATAGCAGACATTTTAACTAACAGGTAATTACTAATTAGTGTAAATATTATTTGCATTGTATTTATATATGATCAGGTAAAATGCCTTTGGAAAGCGGAAACATCAATCTTGTTCTCTCATTTCTTAATATACTTTGATGAATAATTAATTTAAGTTAATATTATAAAATAATTATATTAATTATTTATTACTAGTCAACTTTATTTTATGTGATTAAATTAATAGTGAGTCTGATATCCTACGAAATTTGATGATACTCCTTCCATTTCTTCTTAAGTGTCATAGTTTGGATTTTTCTTTTTCCTTTTTATCTATCATCTTCATATTTTAAAGTAATATTAATTTTTTTCTTTCAACTATAGCTTTGGATTTTTTAATTATTTTATAAAAATATGTATTATTTTAGTCAATAGTCAACAACATACTCTAATCAATATCCTTTAATTTTTACACATTTCTTTTTTACAAAAAAAATTAGGTGAGTTAATTTTTACGTATATTTTAGTGGAAGGTAAATAACCAATAATATATATGTAGTAAGGGTGTTGAGTAAAAATATATGTAAAAAAAGAGGTTTATAGGATATTGGTTATTTACGTATAAAACATAGGATATTTATTTTATGTGGTTAAATTAAGTGTTTTTTTAAGAAATATCTTTACAAAATAGGGGTATTAAGTGAAATCTTGAAAAAAAAATATATAATTACACAAGTTTATAAGTGTAACATTGTTTCAACTTTTAAGATATCTTATTGTATGACAAAATAATAAAGGATATTTAATACAATTTCAAAAAAAGTCCAAGTGCAAATATAACATATTTTAAACTTTTAAAATATTTCCGAGTAGGCCTACACAACAGAAGAGTATTAAATATAATCTCTAAAAAAACTATAGAAGTGTCACGAATGTGAGTATAATTCACTATCTTATTTTTACATTCTGAATTATCTAGAAATGGAAACATTTCTCACACATTTTGTGACAATTTTTTATTATTATGAGTTGCATAATATTGACATTTTTTAATTTTTTGACAATTGAAATTTTTTTATTCTATATATTATTATTATATTATGAATATTGGATTTATCTATATTGATATATATATATATAGAGAAAAAGAGAAAGAAAGAAAGATAGAGAGAGATAAATATGGATTTTTTTTCTTTAACCTTTGGCCGAAAATGAGTGTTTTCCTTAAATGATTATGATTTAAAAACAGCTACAGAGTATAAAAATTGATTTTAAAAAATCACAACCAATTACCGATGAATAGAAACCGATTTTAATCAAATCAAAATTGATTGTAAAAAAAATGATTAAAAATGTTTTTTTTAATTTCTCTGTTTCCTCTTTTTTTTCCTCCACATTTTTCTTAAATCAAGCATTTTTAAATTATTCTATTTCTTTCTTTCTTTCTTATCCATATTTCTTTAATTCTTACCAAAATATATTATTACAGGTTGCGGTTTATGAGCTTACTCATTTAACTCGGTCCACGTGAACCTGAGTCTTACGAGAGTTAATCATACATATATGGTTGACTTGTTTAGTCTAATAGTTCAATAGGTTTGATCTACGAATTTACGAACTAATTGGCTTAACTTGTATAACATATATTTTCTAAATAAACATATTAAATGTTCATTAAAAATTAAGATCTTTTTAGCTTCTAAGTCTTATATTTGATATTTGATAGTTACTATTTAGTTAGAACTTGAGATCATTTCATGTTTGTTAATTGTTAGTAGTTCTTCATTTTTAACATTTTTATAGTTTTCAGTTATTTTTAGAAATTTTAAATTTTCTCTAGATTTTAAATATTTTGATTTAGCTCCGTGTGTTAACCCACTAACCTGCAATCTAGTGCGGATAAAATGAAAATAAATAAATATTTTTTTTGAAGGAATGAAAATTTAAATTAAAAGTCAAATTATAATATAAATAAACATTGCTCTCTTTTTTTTTACACCAACATTAGTACATTACACTTTTTTATTGAGTTAGAAAACGGCCAACAAAAATGGGCTTCCCAATGGTCTTGTGGGCCTGCAATGAAAAGCTCGTTTATGTTGCTTTACGATGGAAGACTATTCAAGCTTTTGCAAAAATGGGCTTCCCCAAAGAACATTGATTGGTATAGGTTTTTAGCATCGGCATGATTAACCTATACTAGCTCAATTTGATTCAACATGGCAAATCCCAACTCAGAAAAAAAAAAAAAAGACAAAAAAAAACTAGGATACTTTTAAACTTGTGGAGGGAAATTTTTTCTCTTTGAGACGAAAATTAATTACAGAAATGATAACTATAGAATGAATCCATAATTTGTTGAAAATTGGTAGATGGTGGAGTCAATTTTCAATTTGGTTCTTTATCACCTTATCGATAGTTTGTATATTTTAATTTTTAATCATCACAAATAGTCTTTTACGTTCAACCATGCTTAAAAGAAGGAGAACTTTCTCCTTTCACTCAACACTCATTGATATATTGTAAAAAAACAAAAAAAAAAAAAAACTCATTGATATTGGATAAATGTAAAACAAAGTAATACAACTATCATCTTTTTGATATTAGGTCATAAAACAATTTTATAACAAAGAAAAATAACAGGATTATATTTCACACATATAACTTTATCAAAACTAACTCTCCATAAAATTACATAATTGTATTTCAATATATATATAAAATTTTATCAAAAATAACTCTCGATAAAATTATTTAATTTAATAATTCATAATTTATATTAAATTTTAATAATTTTGTTATTAAATTAAAAATTATTAATAAATATATTAATTTCATTATTTCTGTAATATTTAAAAATTATTTGATAGTTTATTATGTTAATTTAAATTAATATATGATATTTGATTTTGTTTTGACTAAGGGATAAAGGTTAAATATGAAAGTGAATGGTGTTAATAATGTGTTAAAAAAAATTGTTCTAAATGAATTAATTAAAATTTCATTGTAGAAAATACATTAAAATTATGAATGTTATTCTTAAGTTTGTCATTTCGCAACTTTATCTTTTAAAATGAAAATTATTATTATAAGATTTTATTTATCTTAACACTTTACTAAAAATTACAATATAGCTTTAAAAATATGTTTAAGAATTAATGGAGTCTAACCTAATTAACTAAACATAATACATGATTTGATTTAAATTCTTTTAGTATTGAATTTGATTTTCATCATTTCATGGATAAAAAAAAATTTTACAAATATTTTTTAAATATAAAAATAAGAAATTTAATTACAATAAGTTAATAATATAAGTTTTTTTTTAATTTCACTAAATAGTACAAGTATATTAAATAAAACTACATTTAAATATATTTTTAGTGTATTTAAATAAAACTAAAAATTAGAACAGTTAAAAAGGTTTTAATTTTGTGGACTAACGTGACCCACCTTAAAAATAGGTCAAGTTAGGCAAAAAAAAACCAAAAACTCCTAATTGATCCAAAAATTTAATCCGGTCTACTTTCTACTTGATTCACTCGAATTGAACTCATGATGGGTCACTTAATTGACTTAACCTTTAATCAACCCAACCTACCAATGATTCACTTAATCATTTATTATTATTATTATTATTATTATTATTA